CCCACCCATTAAAGAGTGTGTAGTCTGTAAGTTATATAGTGTCCAGTACTCACATGGGGGGACAAAATTGGACTCATTTGGATAAGTTGGTATCTGGGCTTCCTTTCAACTCGCAGCTATGAATTCTCTCCCAAGGGCCATGAGAGGACCAAGAGTGCAGGAGGCAAGGACTGGAAGGAGAGCTCTAAGAAAACAGCCATCAGTGGCCATTCATCATGCTCCTATTCACCGCATCCTTTACACGTACTTTTTTTTTTTTTTTTTTTTGAGACAGAGTCTCACTCCCAAAGTGCTAGGATTACAGATGTGAGCCACTGTGTGCAGCCTACATGTGCATTTTCAATAATCCACCTTACCTTCTTGACCCATTTTACAGATGAGGAGACAGAGGCTTAGTAAGGTTGGAGTAGCTCACCCAGAATAAGGTAGGGGTTGGCAGAGTTGGAATTCACACCCATGTCTGGCTGGCTCCAGAAGCAAAGTTTCTTATCCCACCCTAGGCTGCTTCTCTCCATCTAAAGGTGGGGTGGACTTCAATGTGGCACACTTTGGCAGGGTAAGGACATTTTAGACTGCAAAGAATGTAGTTGTTACACAGTGCTGCATAGACATTGTCCCAAACATCCATGGCTTTAAATAGCAATCCTTTTTTTCTCCTTCACACATCTATGAGTTGGCCAAGAGTTGGCTGATTTGGGCTGGACTCAGTGGGGCAACTTTGCATCAAGCTGCAGGGCAGGCTGGGCTTGGGTCCTAGCAGCAGGTTGGCTCAGGTCAGTTTCACCTGGTTTCATTCTGGAGCCCAGGCTGAAGGGGCAGCAGTTATGCAAGGGAGTAGCTCTCCTCCTGGAGGCACAAGAGAGCAAGTAGAAATGAGTGATGGGGCTCAGAACAGGCACACTTTCACTTTGGCCGCGTATCACTGGCCAAAGCAAGTTGGATGGCCAAGTCTAAGTCAAGGAGCCAGGAATTACACTCTGCCTCTAGTGGGAGGAACCACAAAGTCACATGACAAACTTGGGGAATGCAGGGAGAAGGGAAGAATCTAGGCCAATAAATTATCTACAAGGATGACAAAAATCAACACAAGGGAATGAATGACTGTTGGGGAAAGTTCCTAGTGTCTTTGGGAAGATTTTTACACTAAATAGGGAACAGCTATTCTTGTCTTCAGTATCTGTGCTAGGGTCCCTCTTATAAAAGCTTTTCAGTCCTGGGGGCCCCATCTCTTCCAGGTTTCTCAGCTTCCTGGCCCTTCCACGTGATCCTGGACATTAACCTGGCTAGAAGGATGATTTTCAGCAATGTTGGAGGCATGTAGAAAGAGACTGAGAGATGAAGGAACTGTTCTCTTTCCTTCCCCTAGAGCCATCCAGCTCCTGTCTTAGAAAAGGAATGACCTCTAAATATTATGACTATTTTAGTGAAAAATGAGTCCAAGGGTGGGCCATGCAAGAGGGAGCAAGGGAAAGCCTCTGGCTGGTGAGACCTAGAGCTCTCAGGAGATGGAGCTATTTAAATATTTGGGCCAATACACTGGCTCTCCTGGAATTCTTGATTCTTTGGTTTCTCCTTGGAGAGAGCAAGAAAATCAGTTAGAAAGAGCTAACAGACTCCAGCAGAAATTTCCAATCACTTTATGAAATTAGGAAATATCCATCACCTTAAACATAATACCTGCAAGGCTTTCGGGGGAAAATAATCAACTTTGGTTGGTTTCTGTTTTTTTCAAGAAAACATTAGCAAGTAAAAAAGGAATAAACTCAATTGATTACAATGATCTTGATTAGTGCTGTCACTAAATGTTCCCACTTCTGCATTCAGAAGAGACCTTGCCCCTTTGGAATTAGGTGTGGCCATGTGATTTCCTTTGGCCAATGAAATATGAATGCAAATAGAATGTATCACTTCTAGACAGAGGCTTTTAAAGACAGTGTGTAATTCAGCATGGCTCCTTCCCACTACTGCAGGCATAATCATGGACGTGTGTATTGAGAGGGGATCTCCATTAACCAAAGTTTCAGAGTGACTACAACAGGCAGAGCTCCCTGATGACATGTATTGGACATGTAGTATGACAGAGAAGTCAACCTGTGTTGGGTAAATCACTGAGATGTGGGGGGACGCTTGTTACAGCAGCAGAACCTGGCCTATTCTGACTGATAGATAGATGCACTGATGCAAGTCAGCCAACAAAGACATTATCAAAATAAATAATTTAGGAATGGCAATGCCATGATCTTTAAAATAATGATACTAACAAGGATTGGTGATAAGCTCTTAGATATAACTAAGACTAAACAATTGCGGGAAGAATTTAAATGCTATAAACCTTGACAAATTAAAAGTAATAATAAAGCCAATGAAAGTGGGAGGGAAGTAGAGAAGAAGCATGAATATCAATTTCTTTTAACCTTTATAGCAGGATTTCATACCATCTGCATTAATCAGTGTTCTCTAGAGTGACAGAGCAGGATATATATATATATATATATATATATATATATATATATATATAATATACTCTCTAGAGTGACAGAACAGTTCTCTGTCACTCTAGAGAACACTGATATATATAAATATATATATTATGAATATATATATGATATATATATGTGAGATATATATATATGAGTTTATTAAGGATGAACTCATACCCTCACAAGATCCCACAATAGGCCGTCTACAAGCTGAGGAGCAAGGAGAGCCAGTCCGAGTCCCAAATTTGAAGAACTTGGAGTCTGATGTTTGAGGGTAGGAAACCAGTATGGAAGAAAGATGTAGGCTGGGAGTCTAGGCCAGTCTAGTCTTTTCACATTTTTCTACCTGCTTTATATTCTAGTTATGCTGGCAGCTGATTAGATGGTGCTCACCCAGACTGAGGATGGGTCTGCCTCCCCAGCCTGACTGACTCAAGTGTTAATCTCCTTTGGCAGCATCCCCACAGACAAACCCAGGATCAATACTTTGCATCCTTCAATCCAATCATGTAGACACTCAGTATTATGCATCACACCATCTTTCACTGAAAACCCGAGTTTAAAATAAACCTAATGATATTGACCTCTTACTGTTTTCCTCCATGTTATTCCTAACTTCAGAGGAAATTGATTGAATAATTTATGACTATATCCAGAGACGAAGAAAACGTTCATCAAATTCCAGCAATTCTTTCGGATTCAATTTTTTCTTTTATTAAAATAAAGCTAAATTCCAACACTTTTGTCTTAGGTTGAAAAATTGAAGCCATAAGGATGGAAAACAGATTCATGGTTGCCAGGGACTGGGAAGGGAGAAGTAATGACTACAGAAAGGCACAAGGGAACTCCTTGGGGTGATGATGGTATCTTACATGTTGATGATGGCGGCAAATTTGTCAAAATTTATAGAATGCACACCTGAACAAGGTAAGTTTTATTATACGTAAATCATGTCTCAAGAACCTGACTTATCTTTTAAAATATGTATGCATGTTAGTTCTCCCAGAAGCAGAACCTGAATCTAAAATTTGAGTATTTTCTAGGGAGTAGGATTAGGGCACGATCCCAGGAAACACTGGTAGTGGAGTGGGGAAACAAGACAAGCAAGGGAAGATGTATGAGCTGTTCAAGAGCAGGTAACTGCTGTGGCAACTGGGGCTCAGCACCACTGGGGAGCTCAAACAGACTGCCTCAGAGTTCGTCTGATCTGCAGGGTAAGTAAGCTAGGGCGTTTATCCATCACTGTGGGCTCGCCTGGGTGTTAACTGCTTGCCACTTTCCCTCTGCCCTACGTGTGGGCTGACCCCACTCTTGCAGCCTGAGAGACTTGCAGGCAGAGGACATTCAGGTGTTTGTTAGGGGAAGTCACTGGACTCTACTAGAACAGCAAATACAGAAAGGTTGTGGATTGGGCTCCGATAGCATCTAATAAACACTTTTTGAGTCTAAAAAGCCTGTATAATAGACTAATCTCAGAGGAATTATACTAAGTAAAAGAAGCCCACCTGAAAAGCCTACATATTATATGATTCCACTTATATAGCTTTCTGGAAAAATCGAAGCCATAAGGATGGAAAACAGATTCATGGTTGCCAGAGGCTGGGAAGGGAGAAGTGATGAGTACAGAAAGGCACAAGGGAACTCCTTGGGGTGATGAAAGTGTCTTACATCTTGATGATGGTGGCGAATTTGTCAAAATTTATAGAATGCACACCTGAACAAGGTAAGTTTTATTATATGTAAATCATGCCTCAAGAACCTGATTTATAAAATATGTATGCATATTATTCCAAGAATGTTTCTTTATCCTCCCTTGAGGACTTAGTGACTTGCTTCTAACAAGTAGAATAAGGCAGAAATGATATTGCATGTGTCAGAGAGGAGGTCATAAAAGGCACATGGCTTCCTGCTTGCTCTCTCACTCTCTCTTGGGTCACCAGCTTTGGGGAAAGCCAGATGCCATGCCACGAGCAGCCCTATGGGAAGGCCCACATGGTGAGGAACTGAGGTGTCTTGCCAGCAGCCATGTGAGGGAGCCATCCTGGAGGTGCATCCTCCAGCCCCGGTCCAGCCTTCAGATGACTGCTGCTGGGCCACCCGTGAGTAACCTCATGAGAGAGCCTGAGACAGAATCAGCCCGCTAAACTGGCTCTCCTTCCTCCTCAGCAAGGGGAGCCAGTCAGAGTCCCAAATTTGAAGAACCTGGAGTGAGACAGCATCACTGTTTGTTTTGAGAAGCTGTTACATATTGGGATTATTTGTTATGCAGCAGTAGATCACTAATACACTGACTTAAAATTCAGTTCCTGTTTTTACATAAAATTATCCATTCTTTCATCTAAACTTTTAGCTGAGAGATATTTGACATGATCTCCATCTAAGGGGAGTGACTGGTTTCTGGGTGGTGGGTTTGGGAGTCATTTTTCTTGTGTTTGTCCTTCTTCATGTTCTTGAACTACTGTTTATAATGAGTGAGTATCATTAAAACTAAAAACACAAATGAGGACTCAGAGCCTGGGCATAGGTGGAGAGTGCCTTATTTTCTCCTGGGGGTGGGGGACAGCGGCGAGGTTTGTGTCTACAGGAAGCAGGCACACCACTCCTTGAGGCAGTTAGAACTCTGCTGGGCTTCACATTCAGTGGCACCACAACAGCAGATGAGCCACCTCTGAAACTCGGCTTCATTCTTGTGCATCAGAAGGAATTGTCCCAACAGGATGTAAGCCTGGGAAGGGGACGAGGCAGGGAGGAAAGCAGGAAAGGTTATTATAAGCCAGCTCAGATGTGCTCTTCCTTCTCAATCACCAGGGCTCATGTGACAATCAAAGGAGGGGGAACAGGGCAAATTCAGGGGAGACTGTCAGTCCTGGAAGCCCTGACGTGGGTCTTAGCCCTGGTGAGAGCTAAGGCCAAGTTAAATGCCCACCTCTCAGGGCTGGTTTGCAGGCCATCCAGCATGGAATGAATCAGACCCTGCCCTCCTCGAAATTTAACAAGCACATGAATCACTTGGGAGCTTGTTAAAATGCAGGTTCTGAAAGTTTAAGTCCAGGGTGACGTCTGCGTTTCTAACAGGCTCCCAGCTGCTGCTGATCCAGGGACATTTTGAGTAGCTGGGGCCTAGCACACTCCTGAAGCTGCCTTCAGACCTCCAATGAAGCATTTCTCTTGGAAACACACACATAGCCCAGGGTAAGAGACGTTCCCGCCCCACTACTTCTGCAATTGTTGTAGCACGTTTTTGGTGGTGGTGTTTTTTGAGAAGGAGCCTTGCTCTGTCTCTTAGGCTGGAGTGCAGTGGTGCCATCTCAGCTCACTGCAACCACCGCCTTCCGGGTTCAAGCAATTCTCCTGCCTCAGCCTCCCAGATAGCTGGGATTTCAGGTATCTGCCACCACACCCAGCTAATTTTTGTATTTTTAGTAGAGACAGGGTTTTGCCATGTTGACCAGGCTGGTCTTAAACTCCTGACCTCCAGTGATCCATCCGCCTCAGCCTCTCAATGTGCTGGGATTACAGGCATGATACGCCAAGCCCGTAGCATGCATGGGGTTTCTAAACTTCGGCACTATTGATATTTTGGACAATGCTCAAAATGTTCTAGGGGTCTGTCCTGTGAATTGCAGGATGTTCAGCAGCACCCTGATCTCTACCCACGCCAGTGGCACCCTCCCTCCCCCACCCAAGCAGTGACAGTCATCACCATCTCCAAACATTGCCAAAGTGTCCCCTTGGGGCAAAATCTCCCTGGGCTGAGAACTACTACGTGTGGAGCTGACAGGTGAATGGCATCTTAGCATCGATTTGTTTTTGCAAACCACCTGTGCGATCTCAGGCGACTCATGGAAACTGAAGTAAGAACCTGCAGACCCTGGATCTCAGTTTCTGCACCTTGCTAAGGCACATGGTGTGCTCTGCAAGTTAAATCAAGTGAATTAAATGGGAAGGCATTCGAAAAATGTAAATTCCTCTCTCATATTGGGAGCTGTAGCCCTGTGGGAGAAGCATAGAAGCATTGAAAACATGCTAAACCTTGCCCACGTTCCCCTTCCTGAGTCTCTGTGCATGAAAAATACATGGAAGATAAATACTTGGTACACCATGATTCCTGTTTCTACGGCATTCTCGAGCTTTCTAGATATTAATACTTGCCCCCGAGGCTTCTAATTCATCTTTCACCGTTTTATTACACCACTATTGACAAGACGCAAGGACCACACGGAGGAAGGGAATTCCCAAGGCCACGTGGCCAGAAACTAGCCAAGCCACTAAGTGGTGGAGGCTGGAGACCTCAGGTCATGTTAAACACCCGTCTCTCAGGGCTGATTTGGGGGCTCTCCAGCCTGGAACTAAAAAGAACCAGCATCCACCCATGCCTCGAGTTCTGGGCCCTTTCCCACGGGTGTCTGTTTACTTTCGGTTCTGTAAAATAAAGCAAACTTCATCTTAACCAAAGCGAGCATAGTTTTTGAGAAGAGAAATCAAATAAAAGCTGAATCCCAGTCATAAAATATACCCAGGCATTGAATTTTGGGGATTTTATTTTTAGTCATGGTCCAGTTGTTCGCAAGAGAAAAAAGCCAGGATTTTATGGGGAGTTTGAACTGCTACTTTAATCTTTACAAAAAGCAATTTAGTTGCTTGGCATGATATCATTTTACTTTATCAGTATCCTCCCATTTTTGAGTGGTGGATTTTACTGAGATGTATTTAAATTAATGTTTTTGAAAAACAACATTTATTAAGTGTTCATTGAGCCAGTTGCTGTAGGTGTGGGAGGTGCCAAGGTGAAGGTAACAGAAAAAAAAGACACAGAGCTGTGTCCAAGGAGAGAGAACATTAATAATAATTTTAAAAAATTAATAGTAAGTGGCTTACACAAACCTTTCTTCATAGAGAGAAATGTTCATAATACTCAATAATAACGATTAATGCTAAGTACACTTTTTATCGCTTCTGTGGGCCACGTGCTGCTAGAGACACCTGACACGTTTTAACCCACCTGATCCTCACACCTCCCTGTCCCTCCCATTCCCCAGGCGGAGGTGCTAAGGCTCCTGCTTTCCTCTGTACTATTCCTGCACACCCCAGCTGTCTGCGGTCTGGCCTGGAGGCTAACACATCCCCTGCCCATTTCAGAAGTGGCACTGCCGGCATCAGCTGGCTTGGTAGTGAGAGCCTCCACGTACCCACAGGCTCAGCAGCCAGGATGCCTGGGAACGCGTGGACCCCATGCAAACTTTCCAGGAATGCCACAGGAAGAAGGGCCCTGTCTTGCAGCCTCGGGAGCCAAGAGGCAACCTGACGCTCCCTCCTTGGTTTTCCCTCCTGTCTCCCTGTGGCATCTCCCAGGAGGGAAAGTTAGCTTTCCTTCTCCCTTCATCCCTGAGCACTTCGCCCTGCTTCCCAGGGAAGCTGGAGTCGTGGGCGCCCATTATTGCCCTGCCAGATGCCCGCGTGGTTTCTCCCCCAGCTCTAGAAAGCCCCCAGCCAAGGAGAAAAGACACTGCCACTTTCCCTACTTGAACCAAAGCTCTCCAGAATTCAGCCGGGGTGGGAGGGGTGACACAGAAACACAGAAACCCTGAGAAGATGTCCCTGTTCTCCTACCATCCTGAACAGTGGCCATGGCCAAACCACGGCATTACATTCCTTTCTGCACCAATAAGATAGGGAGCTCAGCCAGGTGCAGTGGCTCATGCCTATAATCTCAGCACTTTGGGAGGCTGAGCGGGCAGATCACCTGAGGTCAGGAGTTCGAGACCAGCCTCGCCAACGTGGTGAAACTCCGTCCCTACTAAAAATACAAAAATTAGCCAGGTATGGTGGCGGGCACCTGTAATCCCAGCTACTCGGGAGGCTGAGGCAGGAGAATCCAGGAGGCGGAGGTTGCAGTGAGCTGAGAATGTGCCACTGCACTCCTGCCTGGGTGACAGTTAGACTGTCTCAAAAAAAAAAAAAAAGAAAGAAAGAAAATGAAAAAGGAATAGGGGATAGAATGCAGAATCTCCCTCAATTCCAAGTGCAAACAGTGAGGCTCTTCCAGAGGACGGCCCCCAAGCAGGGGGGAATGGCCCTCCAGTTTGCTGTGCCCACTCCTTGCTAAATTTACAGCAGCAGTTTGAGCCTATGCCGGGGTTGGGTTCCCTTGCATCTGAGCCGTGTTTTCACACAGGGCCTGGTGCCAAAAGTCCCCCCTCCCCAGCTGGTGTGACACTCTGCTCTTGTCATCTTTAAATTTTTAATACATTTCTTTTTTTAAATTAATTACATTTTTCCCTAAGAGACAGGATCTCATTCTGTCACCTAGGCTAGAGTGCAGTAGCTCTTTGCAACCATAAATTCCTGGGCTCAAATGATCCTCCCACCTCAACCTCCCGAGTAGCTGGGACTACAAGCACACACCACCACACCCCTAATAGATTTGAACTAGAGGCTTCACATTTTCATTTTACAGTGGGCCCTGAAAATTAGACAACTGGCTGAGGTCCACTCTCATTAAAATGTTCAGTCCTCTCCATATGCTGGGCTTCGTCAAGCAGAGATAAACTGTCTCCGGCCTTTCCTGCTCTCCAGCTGCTTACTATGCCCTCTGCCCAAGTCCACAGGTCCGGAGCACCTGTACTGAATGGACTTCAGTGACCACAAGACTTCATGGTGCAGTGACATGACTTTCTCTGATTCTTTTTTTTTTTTTTTTTTTTTTTTTTGAGACGGAGTTTTGCTCTTGTTACCCAGGCTGGAGTACAATGGCGCGATCTCCGGCTCACCGCAACCTCCGTCTCCTGGGTTCAAGCAATTCTCCTGCCTCAGCCTCCTGAGTAGCTGGGACTACAGGCACGCACCACCATACCCAGCTAATTTTTTGTATTTTTAGTAGAGACGGGGTTTCACCATGTTGACCGGGATGGTCTCGATCTCTTGACCTTGTGATCCACCCGCCTCAGCCTCCTAAAGTGCTGGGATTACAGGCTTGAGCCACCGCGCCCGGCCTCTGATTCTTTTTCACTGGTCACTTAAGTCTTCATGTCATTTTAGGTTTAAACTCTTGCGTCTTTTTTTTTTTTTTTCGAGATGGAGTCTCGCTCTGTTGCCCAAGCTGGAGTGCAGTGGCATAATAACGGCTCACTGCAACCTCTGTCTCCCAGGTTCAAGTGATTCTCCTGCCTCAGCCTCCCGAGTAGCTGGGATTACAGGTGCATGACACCATGCCTGGATAATGTTTGCATTATTTGTAGACACAGGGTTTCATCATGTTGGCCAGGCTGGTCTCGAACTCCTGACCTCAAGTGATCCTCTCAAAGTGCTGGAATTACAGGTATGAGCCACCACGCCCAGCCTACAATGGATTTTCTGTTCCCATAGTTCCTTTCTCCCTTAAAACACTTTCACCCTTACATCTAGAGCAGTGCTGCCCAGCAGAAATAAGGGAGCCAAGGTTGATTTTCCTGGTAGCCACAGTAAAAAGGTGGGAAGGAAACAGGTGAATTTCATTCCAATAATATATTTTCTCCCATATTTCCAAAATATTATCATTTCAACATGTAATCAATAAAAAAATTATGGATGAGCTGTTTTACATTCTTTTTGGGGCTAAGTCTTTAACATTGCAGGGTGTGTTTTGTATTTCTAGTACATCTCAGTTCAGACAAGGGCACAGGTACCAGCGGCCGCTGTCTGGATCTAGATGCTCAGGCCACAAATGACTGCCCCTCCTCGGAAGGGCAGATACAAAAAAAAAAAAAAAAAAAAAGAAAGAAAGAAAAGAAAAAGGCCAACACAACACATATGGCTTTTAAGCTTCTGAAGAGGCTTAGGTAGATCCGTGGCAGAATCAATAGTTTTGAAAGTCCTGACAAACTGGGAGACAGAGACCAGTTCATGCCATAAGCCAAGGCTCTGGGGAAAATGGGGACAGGCAGTAAGAACAGTTCCCTCCCAGCACCCTATGTCTTCTGTTAAAAAACAGTGAAAGAGGCCGGACACGGTGGCTCACACCTGTAATCCCAGCACTTTGGGAGGCTGAGGCGGGTGGATCACAAGGTCAGGAGTTCAAGACCAGCCTGGCCAAGATGGTGAAACACCATCTCAACTAAAAACACAAAAATGAGCTGGGCAAGGTGGCATGCACCTGTAGTCCCAGCTACTCAGGACGCTGAGGCAGGAGAATCGCTTGAACCCAGGAGGCGGAGGTTGCAGTGAGCCAAGATTGCACCATTACACTCCAGCCTGGGTGACAGAGTGAGACTCCATCTCAAAAAACAAAAACAAAAACAAAACAAAACAAAAAAACACTGAAAGACCTGTGCAAGAGGAACGGAGGAGAAGGTACCCGATGTAGGGACTGGTGAGAGTTTGAGAAGGGGCCTCCCAGAGAGGTAATAGGACACCCAGATAAATCAGAGAGAGGAGGGGGCTGGTGTCTCATCTCCCCCAGGGCATCCAGCACACTGGGGTCTTTGGAGAGAGCTGAGTGAGGAACCCAGGGAGGTAGGTGTGAGGGTGGCCCAGGGGCCTGCATCCCAGCAGGTGCTCAGAGAGGGTGCAGAAAGGGCTGAAAGAATGGAGCCTATAAAACCAGGCCAGGTATGCTGTCACAAGCAAGGGCGGAACCCAAGGTGGCTTTGTGCACAGGAAGGAAACTGAGGCTGGGACCCAGCCTGGGATGGGACAGGGAGCAGGGGAGAGTGACAGCTGCCCTTTGGCAGAAGCCAGCAAGGCAGGAGGTTGCTTGAGCCCCAGAAAGATGTCCCTTCCTCTGCCAGGATTAGGTCCCCTGCAGGCGAAGTATGAACATGTAAGAGGCTAGGTGTGGTGGCTCACGCCTGTAATCCCAGCACTTTGTTTTGAAAGGATCACTGGAGTCCAGGAGCTGAGACCAGCCTGGACAATGTGGCAAAACCCTGTCTCTACAAAAACACACAAAATTAACTGGGCATGGTGGTGCATGCCTCTAGTCCTAGCTACTTGGGAGGCTGCGGTTGGAGGCTGAGCTCAGGATGAGGAGGTTGCAGTGAGCTGAGATCACATCACTGCACTCCAGCCTGGGTGATACACTGAGACTCTGTCTCAAAACAAAACCAAAACCAAAACCAAAACCAAAACAAAATGAAAACCACCAAGAGCCAGCCTCTTTATCTAAATCTGAGACCCCTGTCCTGCCACGATCTCCCTGTCTGGGATACTGTCATTGCTGGCCCTGACTTCAGATGGGTCCTTACCCTGAAGCATTTGCCCATCTTGGAGGAGCCAGAGCTAGGTCTCCTCCTGGGTCTCACTACGGGCCCAGGCAGACTCCAGACCCTGATGCAGGGTCTCACCACCAGACTTAGTCTGCCCGGGCGTAACCACCTGACCATGGATCTTTGCGTGCAATTTGTGACAGTACAGTCCACACTGCTCCAGTCCTCACATGGGACCGGACAAGGCACTACTCCCCGGAGCCCTTGTCTCCTCGTTGGTAAAGCGGGGAGAGGGACCCTCATCTCAATCACACGTGTGGGTGGCTCAAAGCGAAGGATACAGGTGAGAGCCCCAGTGCCCGTGCCTGGAATTAGCAGCTCTAGGAAAGTGCTCATTGCACAGGAGGTCATGGACACAAGAGGAGCACGTGTCCAGGGACCCGGCTGCACACAAACCATCCCCACAGCCCTGACTCTGCAGACGAGTTCTCAGATGCCTGACATTTTCTCATTATTCATTCATTTTTTTCTTCTAAAACCCACCCACCTATAATCCTCATTTAAAACACAGTTAAGCTATTCACACACACACACAGACTTAAACTGGAAAAGGCAACACCACAGAGACAGAAAATAAATCAGTGGTTGCCAGGGACTGAAGCTGGTGAATACGAAGAGCACAAGGAAAGGCGTATTTTGAGTCATGGGATTGCTCTGTGTCTTGACTATGGTAGCGGCTGCATGACTGCATGCATTTGTTGAAACTCATAGAACGATGTACTAAAAAGGGTGAAATTTACAGTATGTATGTCAATTATACCTGAATAAAAACGTTTTTAAAATAATGAATAGAGCTGTGCAACAACAACAAAACCCCACAATTAGGGACACATTTAATCAATGGTGTTCTATATCGGAAGAGTGGTTCCGTCTGAGGGTAGGGAATGGCCTTGGCCAAGAAAAGGCACAAGAGAATCATCTGGAATTTTGGAGACATCTGATTGCTGGGTCTGGGTAGTGGGCATATGGGTGTACATATATGTGTAAAAATTCATTGATCTGAGCCCTTTATATCAACACATATTCCCCTAGGTATGTTACATCACAATAGAAAAGTAAGAGGAACAATGATTTCTTTTTTAAAAAGAATTTTTCGCCAGGTGTGGTGGTTCCCAGCACTTTGGGAGGTCGAGGTAGGTGAATCACTTCAGTCCAGGAGTTTGAGACCAGCCTGAGCAACATGCCAAAACCCTGTCTCTACAAAAAATAGAAAAAACTAGCCAGGTGTGGTAGCACACACCTGTAGTCCCAGCTACTGGGGAGGCTGAGGTGAAAGGATCGCTTGAGCCTGGGAGGCAGAAGTTGCAGTGAGCCGAGATGGCACCACTGCACTCAGCCTGAGCAACAGAGTGAGACCCTGTCTCAAATAAATTAATTAATAATAAAAGCAAAAAAATTTTTTCTCTTAAAATTTGTTCCCTTGGGAATGGTTCTGCCTCCTTGATCTGGGAAGAAAGAATCCAATCTATCCAATAAGGGAGCTTCCGTTTCTGATGATACCGTCTACTGAACATTAAACTGGCTCTCAGATTGGGGTGTTATTCGGAATATTTAGTGCATAGCAGTGGGGTAATCAGAAAACCACGGGTCCCATGGTTCAGATTTAGATGCAGACCGAACTAGTCATCAGCCATACGTGCAGCAGTTCCTAGCCTCTTTGGGTGTTTCTGTAACACTGTCTTGCCTGGTGGAATGGGCTGACTTGGGCACCAAGAGGCGTAGTCCTAGTGGGTGCCTCTGCTGAGCGAGAGTGCCATGCTCTGAGAGTTCACAGCCTGCCTTGTCTGTGCTCGCTGTCTTCGCGTTGTCTTTGGGACTGTTTCATCTGAGGCTTCAAGTCGCTTTTTAAAAGCCCCATAAAAACAAACAATGACATAGAAAAGAATATTCCAATTCCACTGGATATCCTTGAGGTCATTCTTGGGCCGGGAATGACATGACAGATGAACTCACTCTGGTGTAGACCCCAGGCTGTTGTTTCTCCACCTGCCATTGCCAGGCTGGTGCCCTGGCAGGGGCGAGCGAGACACTATGGGTCCCTTCAGGGGGGTATGGAGTGCACCTAAATCACCCATCCTGACAGCTCTGTCTCAGACCCCGGTGGCTGGCCTGCTTCTGTTGACCCCTGAGTGTTTGAACACCAAGTGAATCATGCCCAGCCCAGCTGCTCTGAGCTGAAGCCATTCTACCGTATGTGCCCATCATCTGCAGGCCCTTGAGGCTACTCAAGCATGTGGGGTCAGTAGCATGAAAGAATGTGGCACCCCGCCAAGTGGCAGCTTTGCTTTCTGATGGCCCTTCACAGGGACACATGGCAGGAACTGCCATCTTTCAGGACTGGGGAAAAGAGGTAGGGAAGGAAGTCAGAGAAGTAAGAAAAAAATGAATTACCTTGTTGATACCTTTGGTGACCAAATTGATGGCGAGCTCATGGCTGATGCCATCCACCCAGCAGACATCCTTTTCTCCAATGGGTTCGGAGAGGAAGGCTCTCAGCCTGGGAGACATGTGGTCCATCTCCTGTGACGGCAGTGAGGAGAGAGGAGGATTAGCAGATACCTGACTGCTCCCAGTGTGCGTGGACACTGGGGACCCCCCTCAGCCCACCAAAGGACTGGGGCAACAGATGGCGAATTCCTTCCATCACCCAGCATTTCCTGGGCTCTGCTAAATGCAGGCGCACCAGGCTTCACTAAGGCCTTCACCCATCCATTCCTACCTGGATGGACAAACAGAAGCATAATGATGGCCACAGATGAATCAAATACATTTCCACGAAAAGGGTGTGCTTCATATTAAGAACTGCAGCGGGATCTTTCCAACTCACCCTACCCTAAATACCTAAAGCGACAACTTGCCTCTCTTAGCTAATTAATCCACCTTCTCTCTTAACCACCCAACACTTCCGTCATACTTTTATTTCAGTGTTCATCACATTCTACATAGCGTCAACTCTCTAGAAACTTCAAACTGGCTCAAATCGTGAAGAACACATTCTAGAAGTCCAAAGCCCAGAGATGGGAATGGGTCACGGCTCCACTCCTCGGGGATTCTCCGGCTTTTCCTCCTCGTGTTGGCTTTATTCCTGCTTGGCTCCCCTCCTGGTGGTGAAAGGGCTGCTCCAGCACTTGTCGGCTTCACCAACTCCACCTCAAAAGAAGGAAGAGAAGGTGGCTTTTGCTTACGTCACCTCCTTTGCTGCTTGTGCTCCAACTTTAACCAGACAAAGCAGCTTTCCCAACCAGCAGGACTTGCTCATCGACTTCCTGCAACTTTGGATGGCAGGCCCCAGGCAAAGAGACTCTCTCTCAGCAAAACTACTTTCATCCCTCTCCACTCTCAAATGGACCACTATCTCCCAGGAGTGGAGTCTCCTAGGACCTTAATGAAGACTGCCAGAGGTAGCCAACATCCTGAATATTTCCTGGAAGATCTTGAAATACTATGGGCTCCATAAGTATTAGGTCTGCCTCTCAGCACAACTGGCCAGCCATTTTGTTAATATGAGAGTTGCCATCTTCCTAGTTGTTCTTTGTTTGTTTGTATGTTTGTTTTGTTTTGTTTTTGAGATGGAGTTTCGCTCTTGTTCCCCAGGCTGGAGTGCAATGGCATGATCTCGGCTCACTGCAACCTCTGCATCCTGGGTTAAAGCGATTCTTCTTTTTCAGCCTCGCAAGTAGCTGAGATTACAGGCAGGCGCCACCACGCCCAGCTAATGTGTGTATTTTTAGTAGAGATGAGGTTTCACCATGTTGACCAGGCTGGTCTTGAACTCCGGCCCTCAAGTGATCTGCCCACCTCGGTCTCCCAAAGTGCTGGGATTACAGCTTGATCCATCGCGCCCGCTGCCATCTTCCTAGTTTCACAGAGCCATCTTTGCTGCTGTCCGCCTGAACATCGCTTGTCAACCAATCCACATTTAAGGTCTGTCTCTTCTCAACCAACCCACATTTAAGGTTTGTTCCTTGTAGCATTCCCTTCCTGGCACAAAATTCTGTGTCAGTTTGGGCAGTTTACAATGAAAGTAACAGAAAACCCAGTGTAAATCAGTTTACACAATAAGGAGGTGTTATTAGCACATGCTACTGAAAAGTCCAGAGGTAGATTAGACATGACTTGAGCAAGGCGCCAGCCTGATTTCCCAGCAGCCCTCTTGACTCAGCCTTCCTCTGTGAATCGGCTCAGTCCTCAGCTTAACTCCTTTGTGGAAGTAACTGGGCTGCAACACTGCTTTTGCAAGGCACACCCCTTTCCCCCAAAGAAACACAAAGCTGTCTTTTCGTAGAGGCCCCCAACAAATGCCCTCTCTGGTTCAGATTGTAATGTGCCAGTCCCTAAAACAAAAATTATGATCTGTTATGTGTGTTCTACCTCTGGGTTCAGCAAGGGAGTCAATGTTCCTAAAAGCTCATGGGCTGCAGGTATGGGGATGGGGGAACCAAAATTGAGACAGTTATCCTGGTCTTGGGGACAGGTACCCCATACCATAATATGGGACTATGTTACAGGAATGACCCAAAGTCCTTCACACGTTCCCCAGTAGATCACGAGGCTCCCAAGGGCTGTAGCAGCCTCTTAATGGCCTTTGTTCCTACCTCTCACACCAGCTCCACTGCCGAGCACGTGGCAAGCATTCCATAACGTGAACGATCGGGTGCATCCAGCATCTCCCTTTCACAGCCCTGTCCACTCTCCAGTCCCACTCTCCCAATTCTCCTCCATCTTTCTATAAAGTCAAGCTCCTTGTGTACGCCTTCTTGCTGCAAAGGACATTTTGTAACCCTTCAGAAGACATTGAACTCTCCCAGAAGAGATAGATCTGAAGGCATTGATTTTGGAAGTCAGGGAGCTCCTGAGAAAAGTGGCCTTGGGCCAGACGCAGTGGCTTACATCTGTAATCCCAGCACTTTGGAAGGCCCAGGCAGGCAGATCATGAGGTCAGAAGATCAAGACCATCCTAGCTAACATGGTGAAACCCTGTCTCTACTAAAAAAATGGAAAATTAGCCAGGCGTGGTGGCACGTGTCTGTAATCCCAGCTACTCAGGAGGCTGAGGCAGAAGAATCACTTGAACCCAGGAGGTGGAGATTGCAGTGATCTGAGATAGCTCCATTGCACTCCAGCCTGGGTGAAAGAGTGAGGATCTGTCTCAAAAAAAAAGAAAGAAAGAAAGAAAGAAAGAAAGAAAGAAAGAAAGAAAGAAAGAAAGAAAGAAAGAAAGAGAAAGAAAGAAAGAAAGAAAGAAAGAAAGAAAGAAAGAAAGAAAGAAAGAAAGAAAAGAAAAGTGGCCTAGGAAGGGGAGCAAAAGACATGAGAGTGTTCAGGGTACCCTGACTCTGTGGGTCTTAAATCCACAGATGTGTGAGCTGAGGGCATCAGCCTCTCTTCAGCAGCTGATTAGGAAGCTCTCTCTTCATCTGTGAAAATGTGTTTCATAAATACAGTGTTTCATCCAGATGATGTGTATCTCAGGTGTGAACAGGGCAATGCCTCAGCATCCATGGCTTTATGGGACAATGAATTTGGGATTGAGAATTAGCATTGATGAATTGAGTGAGAATCCAGAATTTCTGAGCAAGGAAAAGCCTGAAAGTCTCATGAGCTGCTCTGCCTTTGCTGAGGGAAAATTCCATTCACTATCCATGCTGGCCATCTGTTAAGTTAAACATCTCTGCCTATGAAATCCAAGAATAAATGGAAACTACAACATTGCTATCAATGCACCAGCAGCATCAAAGACGGGTAATGGTTAGTAACACCTTGAGGGTGTTTGCTTTTCTCACACACCTGATCTCACTTTGATCCTTGCACCATGTCTGGGGCGGGGACTTAGGCAGCAATTTTTGCCTTCCTGAGACTCCCCAGCAACATCAGGGGTCAGAATAAAAAGGTCTTCACATTCTTTACAACACCTTTGGCTGCAACAGTTGTGCTCAACTGGGGCCATTGCCCCCACCTCCCCAGGCCACTTGGCAATGTCCAGAGGCACTTGAGTTGTCACACCTGGGAGAGGCGGAAGGACTATCGGCTCTAATGGGCAGAGGCCATGCACACAACCACCCCACAACAAAGAATTATCTGGCCCTGGATGTCAATAGCATGGACCCCGGGTTAATAGCATAGAAACCCTGGGCTATAAGTAATGGAAAATCCTGCCTCATGTAGTCTGAAACAGTAAATACATTTCTAATCTCACATAACAAGAAATCCTTTGATGAGGTGGACCCAGGATCTTATCAGTCAATGACTCTGTGTGAACAAGGGCCAGGCTAGCTGCTCCCAAGGTCCCAAGATTTTGCTGGGGTCCCATTCCAATGTGCAGACTTCCAAAGGGGCCGGCTGTGGTGTTTCATGCTTGTGATCCCAGCACTTCGGGAGGCTGAGGCGGTTGGATCGCTGGAGGTCAGGAGTTCAAGACCAGCCTGTCCAACATGGTAAAACCCGATCTCCACTAAAAACACAAAACTTAGCTGGGCGTGCACCTGTAATCCTAGCTACTCGAAAGGCTGAGCCAGGAGAATCACTTGAACCTGGGAGGTGGAGATTGCATTGAGCCAAGATCATGCCACTGCACTCCAGCCTGGGCAACAGAGAGCAACTCCATCTCAAAGAAGAAGAAGAAAGAAGAAAGATGAAAGAAGAAAGAAGGAAGAAGGAAGAAGGAAGAAGAGGAAGAGGAAGAGGAAGAAAAAGAAGAAAACTTCCAAAGGAAGAAGAAGCCTTTTTCTTCTTGGGTGTCCTTAAGGGGAGACAACCCCTCCCAGAAACTCTCCAGCAGAACTTCCTTCAGTTTCATTGGCCAGAACCGGGCAACATGTCCACCTGTAAAGCAATCACCGGCCAGGGGAGTGGGACTGCTATGGGGTTATAGGGGTGTGGATGAGGTGAGCCCCCTCTGAAACATGAGGCTACTCACAAAATGTCAGTTTCTCTAAGAAGGAAGGAAGGAAGAGAAGAAATGAATGCTGGGTGGGCAAACAACAATGTCTGCTACATCTTCTAATCATCTAAACCTTAGTCTAATATTTGGTTTGTTACAACTAGCCCTTCTCAAAATTGAGTGAGTACACGAACCACCTGGGGTTTTTTGGTTAAAAAATGCAGGTGCTGACTCAGCGGGTCTGGGCCAGGCCCTAGATGCTGTGTGTGTGAGACCATCTCCAAGGAGATGTGACGCTGCTGGCCCAGAGACCTCAGTTTCCCCAGCAAGACATTCATGATGCCACTTAAGCTTTTCAGGTGATTGTATTAATTGTGGTGAAATACACCTAACGTAAAATGTCCCATTTCAACCATTTTTAAGTGCATGTCAGTAGTGTTAAGTGCATTCACATTGTTGTGCAACCAATCTCCAGAACTCTTTTCAACTTGCAAAATTGAAACTCCATACCCACTGAACAGCTAGTCTCCATTCTCTCCAGGCAGCCCCTGGCAACCACTATTCTGGCTTTCTGTTTCTATGAAGTTGACTACTGTAGATACCTCATCTAAGTGGAATTGTGTACAACTTGCCCTGCGGA